TAAGATAGTTAATGAAAATAACATTACACTGATTTGAAGTCTTGTATGTCATTTAAAGTACCCGTTAAATAAAAATGATCCTGTAGTGCCAAACATTACACAATTACCTTAAAATATAACTAACAAAATGACCGACAATATCTTTGTTGACACTGGGATACAATGCTAGGAATGGTTTTATCAGTTTGACACTAGATGATGGTTATCTTACCAGTAAATTAACTTGTAAAAAAACTTCTGATTACTCCACAGTGCTAATCCTTTATACCAAGGCCTACCAAAAATCGTTCCGGTCTGGATCAGTAGCAATGGCCAGGTAACCTGGAAGGTAGAAACCCTGACCACCACCGTGTGTGATGCGGACCCCTTCTACTTCCCTGCAGACACCATGGAATGCAACATCTGCTTTGCTGCATTTTCTTCAACCATCGGTATGAACTTGGAAGTATTTTATAAAAAAGATATCAATATAAAATAATTTTTATGAATATAAATCAATAAATAAAAATGATGTAAATTAAATATAATATTTTATCGGAGCGATCTGGCAACTGTTTGTCACGGTTGACATTCCTTGAACATCCCGGTCACTGTCTATATCTTAATATATTCCAGGAATATTTTGGTCACTGTTTACCAATGATGATAATAATGATGATGATATTTCAGTGATTATATTATGGTTTTGATATATGTTCTTTCCCATGTTCAATGTAAAAATTAAGGAAAACCGGATTCCTGTCAGTATACATTTTGTCTGCATACATTTTGGCTACCCTTGTCATGAAAAAGTTACCTATTTTGCTGATAGTTTGTTGCAATGATTTGTCGAACACAGAATGCCAACAAGATGGAAGTCCCTGTGGCGTCCTGTCTAACCAACAACTGGAGGGCGAATGGTACCGGAAGGACATGATCTTCGCAAAAGACAAGACGGAGGCGTGCTTCACTGTTCAGCTGGAGAGGATCCCGCTGTTCCACATCGCCACTACTGTTGGACCCTGCGTCATCCTGGTGGCGCTGATGGTCATCACATTCGTCATGCCACTGGACAGGGGGGACCGGATCTCGTTCGGAGTGACCATTCAACTCTCCGTGGTCGTGTCCCTCGTGTTCGTGACGGATGTGCTTCCTGTCAAGGGGGCGCTGCCATTTTTCGGTGAGTAAACATATAGTTGCGACCATGTTGTAAATGTTTTCCTTAGTTTAGAATTTTAAACTACTTGGAAACTAAAATACCTTCTTGATTCCATTCATCTGGTTTTCTGCCACTTGTGCATTTCAACTCAAGTACGTAGAATTTATCTGGGCGACAAGTAAACCCTTAGATACCTTCCTCATGGCCAGGCCGGACTCCGTTAAAATAAAAAAAGTAAGCAAAAATCGATGGGTAATTCTTAGAACTTGAAACCTAAAACTTCATCTTCTTGCAGACACTAATTCTGAATTAATAGGCATTTACAACGATGATAACGGAACAGTTTTCTGTTTGCTACGGTGATCATCTGTATTTTCACACACAGTAATTTGATGTGAAAAACTGTCGCTAGTGTCCGTCCATCCATAAGTAGTGGTTCGAGAGCGGGTGTAGTCTTAGCAAAACAGATTTACAGTCCTCATTGGATTTCATTAGTATTAGTGCTTAGGTTGCTTAGGGTAACTGTTAACCGTGGTATTCCCGGAACATGTCGGTAATTGTTAACCACGGATGCTGTTACAGCCGCGCTGATCGTCGTGTGCATGGCGCTGATGGGACTTTTCCTCTTCTTCACCATGGCCATCATCACCATTCATGACAGGCAGGGGAGCCTGTCTCCAATGGCGAAGACCTTCTTTCTCCGTTACATGGCAAAGTATGTACTATTCGTAACACTAGCTCAGGTTAGACCGAATAGAAATGTACAGAAATAGACAAATACCCTTAAAGTGAAACTCATATACATCTTTATTGTTGTTTCGTTTTTAAGTTATAAGGTTTATTAGGCCCTTTTACATGTTTAGGCTGATATGAATTTAACGTACCAGGAAAGATTCGTTATCTATTTTTATACGATGGAATCGAATTAGCGACTTAATACTTTTATAAACTTTTTCTGCATCTGTTACTCTTCCAAGCTGCAAATTAGCATGTATTTTAGGCCCTTTTCTTTGTAGATTTTGTATATTTCTTTGTAGATGATGATTCTTTGTAGATTCAGTCTGATTTTTAAAGTATCAACCTTGGTAACATTTTAACATTTTATTCATTGCTTCTACTTTGAACATGAAGTAATCTGAACGTTTGGACATGCCTATTGATATGGGAGTGAACGTATGTATCAGAAAGAAACACCGACCTCATTTTTTTTCTTGGTGGTGTTTGTTCAGGTGCCTGCTGCTCGGAGATCTGACAGAGAAGAAGGTTGCAAGCGACAATGGAGAGACTGGTCCCAGCAGCAGGAAGCCGGCCTGGCCTGAGCAGACCAACCGCATCCTTCCCGCTGATGTCATGGCGGTGGTCGACGTGCAAAGCCCGGCTGATGTCCGCGAGACAGCCCGTCAGCCGCCCGCGCCGTCCAGTAACATGGAGGAGCAGGCCGAGGCCATGAAGAACGAGCAGGAGGTGTCTGACTACACCCTGCTGGCTAAGGTCCTGGACAGGCTCTGCCTTGTCATGTACGTCATCAGCATTGCCGTGGCCGTGCCCATGACCATGTATCTGGGCAAGTAAATTAAAGTTGTGTAAACGTGCCTTAACACAACCAAAAAGTGCGACTTGATTATTATGATTATTATGCATTGATTCAGCTTTAAGTAACATGCATGTGCAGTCAGGACATGCCCTTACAAGGGCTGTAGTCCTTTGAGAATTTTAGTAAGGTAGTAACCCCACTGGTGGAACATACATACTAAATTTGTATCTTCAGTATGATCAATACCATACGAAGGTGAATGTGTGCAATGGGGCTTATAGTTCGTATGGAGCATATAAATCAGACAACATACATATCTAAGTTAATTTACGTATCTAACCAGGAAAGACTTGTGGTGTTTTCAAAGAGTGGAAATGAACCGAGATGTACTATTAGAGTCGCCTTCTTGGCAGAATCTTGCACATCATATCTTAGATTGCATATTCTATCTGTAAACTCTTGGTTCATCAGAGCCTTTAAAGAAATGACCTGTCAGTGACACTTTGTAAGTATAAGTTCCCTGTGTAAACAGAACGAAACACAACTTGACTGTAACGACTGCATCTACTTTTATCTATTCATACATTCATCTGTTATCTATTCAGCTCATAGGACATTTATACACAGCTGGAGCTGCTAAACTAATCGGTGGCTATCAGATAGGGTTAGTCTTGAGACCAATAGGGAAAAACCAGGGAAAAGAATTTGTCCATCTATTACATGTAGACTACTTTTTCTTGATCTGTAAATAATTTTGCGTTAGGATAACAAGTAGCTTTTGTGTAATTATAGTAATTATGACCAATAATATATCTAAAACCTATACCTAAAACCTGTATATGACTGTCTCTTGTCACGTGATTATCCCATCAAGTCACGTGACAAGAGAACTTCAAGACGAGACCTGAATCGGGTTGATAAAGAGACAGAGTACGTCTCGAAAGCTCTCCAGCATAGCTAAATTTTCGTCGTGTGTTTAGGTATAAATATTTTGTCAAAAGAATATATCTCATATTCGTATAATTGGCATTTTTGGCCTTTTATACTAATGTGAGATATATATCAGATATATTGCATGATTATATAACTTATATATATATATCTAACCAGGAAAAACTTGTTGTGTTTTCAAAGAGTGGAAATCATGTTTCAGCATGCAATAGTGTGAGTCAGTAGGCCTGGATCCCATATGAACATTATAAGAGCTATGGTTAACAATGAAGGAAGAAAACAACTTGTATGTGGGGATTCAGGTTTAGAGCTTTTTAGCATATGTTTAAACAAGAAATACTTTTGAAAAAGCTGGCCTTTCGCTTAGTTTGTGAATGCGAAGTTGTAATGAGCTTGAAGATATTGTTTTAATGGAGTAAAAGGTAGAAAAGTCTACCTCTACTTGCATCATTAAAACTGTATCACCTTGATGGTAGTTTGCTGATAATGTTACTTTTGTTAGTTAGTTGTAAAACCAATACATAAACTAAGCACTACATTCGTCTCTACCTGATTCGTATGCCACATATGCTTGCATGGGCTTGGCATCAACATCGAATCTGCATGGAGCAATGTCTCGCTATCATAGAACCACGTACATAGCGATCTCTATGAGGCTGCGTAAGGGAAAAATGTTTAAAAGCGTGAGTTATTCAATAAAACGTAACGCAAAACTTGGGCGTATTTCATTACTTATTACGTTGTTGCATACATAAAGTTTGGGCATTTGTGTTAATTCTATAGATTATTAGAAGAGTGTTACCCCGCCTCAATGACACAGCTCGACATCCCTAAAAGAGTATTGAAGCCTACCGGCCAAGATTACCTACCTGTCACTGGGACTGTCGGATGGGACTCAGGGCTGAACAGTCTTTAGCACTAAATATGGAATAAAAACGTTTTAAATTTTGAAAAAAATGGATAAAAAATGTGCAAAAACAAGAAAAAGTAAAGATTTACTTTATTTACATAGGAATAATATCTAACTATCAAGTAAAAAAGATGTCTTTAAAAATCTCTGGACTTGGTAGCAGAACACAGTATTTATCCGCGACCCCCGGAGACGATGACGTAGGGATAAGAAACGAGTGCGACAAACAACTTGCACCGCTTGTACACAGCCTAACGTGGATGACACCGGGACATACAAGTTACCGTATGGTACCATAATATGTCGGCTTTGATATCGCATTGAATAATTGAGATTAGGAAGGCTGCTCGATCGGCGTATAAATGCGCGTGACCTTTTCGCTGCCTGCCAGGGTGAGCCGGCTGCAGTTCCGGTGCGCTCCGCAGGAAGACATTAAAGAGGGCGGCATAATGTAAAAAAAAAACGGTAACTTTTTGTACTTTTTTGTTATTTTGTACATCGTACCCTATATTCGAACATATTCGTTTCTCGTGCTTTTCTATAGTACCCTACTGTATTTTTATCCGAGTCGATGTCAGTCACTTCCGGGTCCTTAACTATAGAAATCCCCATAGGCGAAAAACTGTGTTCTGCTACCTTGAATTAAACCCCTGACCTCCTAACTTTGTGAGTGGAAAATGTTAAGTCGCTTACCAATTGAGCCAAGTTTAGATGCACGAGGAATCATAGACTATAAATCAGCTTTTAGTACAATGGAAATTGCCATTGGTACAGTAAAACAGGTGCATGGCTATTGGTTCTTGCTCTGCATACCATTGCTATGAGTCACCCAGGTCCAGGGACACAACATTGTGTACAGATTTTGTCGGAAAATGCCCCCCCCCCCAAAAAAAAAAAACAATTCAAACTATTCTAAAAGCATGAATAGCAAAGTTCTTTGATCACAACCATTTATTTTTCACGAGCCGACGTTTCAATGACCTTCTGTCATCTTCATCAGGAAAATTCTGACTGGTTTACTGTGCACTGACGCTAGATGTTACTTGATGCATAGTGCAATAATGGTGATACATTGTTCACAGTGCACTTAAGCTAGTTTCTACTGTTTACAATGTATTCCGGAACGTAGTGTAATTGTGACATACATACTAGGCATTGTTTCATCATAGGGAAGTATGCGGTTCAAAATGTATTCACGGCGGTCTGTCACTACGGCATTCTTTCGAAAAGGTATCGGGTTACAAGACGCTATTTTGGCCTGTTTTGGACTACACATAAAACACTTGAAACTAAACAAAAGAATTTAATGGTAAATTTCGTCAGATTAAAATGAAATGATCGTCTTAACATCCTTTTAATATTAGCTGTTTATGTTAAATCATTGATTTTTCAAAATTTCGCTCAGAAAGATGATCATTTTGGGTATCCAAGCACAAGTCATGTCATGTTTTAGACAAACATCGTTCAAACCTGGCTACGTATATTACCCCAGATCCCCGATATTTATATTTTTCGACGACTAGGAATAAGATAAAAAGTCGTGTTTTAAGAGTTTTAATTTCTGATTTTGTCTAGTTTTTGTCGACATATTGGTGAAAAAAAATTGCATTTTTTTACATTTTTTGCACTATAAATTACCCATAATTCAAAATTGAGGCCATTTTTCAAAAATCCCTAAAACACGATTTTCGGGACATACCGTTACGGTCATTTTGAGCCGTGAATGGGGTATGTTTGACTCTCCATGCTTGCAGGTTTAAAAGAGGTTTGCAGACATGTCATGTCGACCAAAAGTATGCATTGTGTTATTCATACTGGCGTAAAGAATCAATACAGTATTCAAGGTCACCCAAGGATACGACAGTAGCTTCGCTACATGTTACATGTCCACAAAAAATGATAGCGGACATGTATTGTCCAGGAAACTGTTTGTATTTATAGAAAAGTGTTTTTTTTTTACCTGTTGCAAGGCACGGGGGCAGAGAGGATTGTTTTGCCGCTTTATTGTAAATGACCGCAGGTGACCCCGAAATGGAACGCGGGTTCGATTCGAATTGCCCAGATCGAACACGTTCGAACACAGTTCGGGTTCTATGAAATGTGGGAACTTTGCAGCCCAGATTTGACCACCGTGATTCTAAAAGCCTGTATAAAGGGAAAAAAGGCCATACTGAATTTCAGGTCATTTAGTAACAAAATGAAGAAATTTAATCCGCTTAAAGAAATGGCAGGAGAAGAAGAAGGGGGAAGCTGACGAGAAGAAACATACATGAGTAAAAACAATATGTCTCCATCACACCACTGCGCGGTGTTTCTGAAGCCAAAAAGACCCCCCCCCGGTACAGGCATGAGTAAAGCGACGGTCACAACCGCCGTGCGTGCTTTTTGTCCTTACGTTTTTTGGGAGGCCACGTCTGCTACGTTTTTTCTGAAAATCCCAAATCCAAGCCTCTGCTTGAGAGTACACAACTACAACAGCTACGCGTAGTTAGAAAGCCTTTCTCATAAAGTACACACCCTCAAGGCAGTAGACTCTAAGTGCCTATCGGTACAAAAGCAAAGTCAAACGGTCTAAAAAGACGGTCCCACCCGCTAGCCTCGCGTATAATGCCTACTACAAAACTACAGTAGGCATTGACCTGCCCGCCGGTGCCCGTCGGGGATGTAGCCCCGGCCGGTCCCTGTCGGGCTCAGGAGTCGGGTGGGCATCGGCTGTCGTGGTCACAATTAAAAGTTTCCTTCAGTAGCATTTTGTTAAATTTTGTCACCCTCTTTGGTCGGTTTCCGGCAGGCACCCGGCAGGTACCCGGCAGATTCTCTGATGATGTCTTGAACTGACCAGTAGTGCAGAATTCACGCTTTTGTTGTGATCATTTTGATCTGTGACGTCACACATTTTACCCGGGTTTACGAAGTACACACCTTTATTCTGTTCATCTGGCCTGTGACGTAACAAATGTGTCTCGGTGGACTTTCCGGCAACCGGAGGGGTACCTCTCGGTGTTTTCACGGTGAGGTCACGGCGTCTTTTTGTCAGCAGGGTAACAGCACACTGTCGTAGTAGGCACACTTGTACTGAACATGTTGCTCACGATCGGGTTGTGAGCTCGCAGGGTCTCCAGACTTTGGTTACGTGTCCTGTCGATTTCGTGATTTGGGTGAAGGATGCTTGTCTGAGAAATTACTTTTGCTGTAGTTGAAA